ATGTGTTTTTTTAATACTTATAGTGTAAATATATTTCCTATATTTTGTGCACAGCCGCGGTAATTTATAATATAAACATACAAACTTGAGCGTCGTTTTACGTAAGTACTGAAATTTCTCACACAACCGCAGTTAACGACTGACATTTTTTTCTGTTTTCGAGTGGTAGGTATGTGTGCGAACGTCACCTTTAACATATTGTATTAACATCGTTAAACCTTAGCAACGGCGTCTGATAATACTGAAATAATAAAAACTTAAGTGAGCGTAACAAGAGCTTCGATAAAATAACATAATATCGGTTTTGCAATTGCGATTTCGGTTCTCAACGCTCTTCGATACTGCCCATGGGTATTTACCTTTTTATGATGGCCGCAGCACATGCTATTCTCAAGACATATCCTGCAAAGTCTTAAAACGTTACGACCACAAGAAGCCGTTTGCCGCGAAGATTACAAGCACTGTTGTTATGTACAGGGTAGTTCATTAGAGATATCACACACACACACACACCCTCGTTAAACAGTTGTAGTTTTATAGTTTTTCCTTCCAGAAACACCGGTTTATGGTATTTTACAATATTCAAATTTTCGCCTTTTTTCCACCACGGTTATATCAACTTTTAAAACTTAACCATAGAACTTCATCAAGTCAGTTAAAGAATAAGTTAACCTGTGAAGTACAGCTTTTCCAGGTGCCAAAAGTTGTTTTTTATTATAAGATATATTTCAAATTAGAAACAGCCCTGTTGCTGTTCGTATAAGCGCAAATATGAACTTACGTTTTTCAATTAATGAGCATTTATTTCTTGTGATTAAGGCTGAAGGCAATTGACTAATTTGACCCACGAAACGTCATAAGGTGGAACAATAGCTAAAAACAATAGACGACTTTGACTTACTAACCTGTAAGTGTTGATAATGACCACTGTACAATATTGAAAAATTACTAAATATTTACCTTTTTAGTATTTTTGCAGTGCACAATAAACTTTTGAAATCAGTTTTGGATAACAATTGTGAACTATTTTTTATTTTAAACGTTAACTAAACACATAAACGTTTCCATTTAAGTTTCAAACATTGTTGGAAATCTGGAAAATACAAAAAAAACTACAGATTTGAATATTGTCTAATATCGTAAAATAACATAAACTAAAGTGTGCCCAAAAAGAAAAACTACAAAACTACAGCTGTTTATGAGTATCTTATCGGTAATGGATCACCCCGTACTATTATAATACAGGTATATCGTTATTTAACGTACCAAGCGACTCTAAGTTATACTTAGGACTATGTTTAAAACAATTCCCAATACACACACACACAACGTTCGTAACATGTATATCCGGGTTTCCCATCCGAGCGTGAAGAACTTTTAATTTTTTTCCCCGCGTTTTTATGAAGGGGTTTTTTATTTTCAGTGATATTGTACTGTTGACAAAAAGTTATAAATCAGTTTATACTCTCTGTTATGGCGATAGTTGAAAAACATGATATTATTTTTTTCTCCAGGAAACTTGTTATTCCTTTTCCAAACGACATTTTATTTAGACATGTTTTGAACGAAACTTCGCCTAAACTTGAATAGTTGTTTTCCGGCCTCGTTTAGACTTTAGATAGTTAGATGATACAAGTCGAAAGTCAATTTGCAAACCGGCTCGACCTTGATGAGACAAACAAATATAATAATTGCATAAATGCGAAAGAAACAAAAAATAATAATTTTTTTTTAAACTTTTTTATTATAAAGAAAGGCACGACGGGTTATTTTTGAAAATTATATTTATCGTCACAGCTATACTTTGTTACTAAAAACATTTTTTTTTTCCATATTCTACGGTCTGATACGTTAATCAAAATGATTATAATATGATATAGTCGCTCCTAAGTAATGTATTGTTTGCGTTCGACCGTTTTTGAGCATAAAAAAACATAATAAATTAATTCTGCCTTTGCAGTTCAGACTAACAGGCACGTTAGAATAAAACTAATTTCGTAAATTGTATTCTGCTTTTTCGGTGTACAATTATGGCTACAAAATCTGAGTTTTCGTTGAAAAAAAAAACTGTTTGTAATTCTGAATTATTGTTTAGGTACAAGTGAATCCATATACTTAATCAAATTTTATTCGTTTTTTTTTCGTCCATACAAAACTGCTTCGGTTATGTTGCTCGATTTAAAAAATTCAACTATAAATATAAAAAAAAATATATATATAATCTGGACCATTTAGGCAGAATTAATTTACCATCACTTGATGCGTTGCAGTGATTGAAATATATTATGGTTTTTTTGTTTATATTTCGCCGTTGAATAGAATAAATTGCAAGTATCTTTAGAACCGCTATGCTTATTATATATCACATGTAGTTTTGCAATTTTATTTTCAATGAAAGTCGGAATGTTCTCAAATCAAGCATAACAAAATAAGCAAAACCTCTAAATCTTGATAAACAACAATTTCGATCTGTGCGCAACAAAAGAAAATGGTCGTGTGAACTTAATGTGTCGAACTCAAGTGAAATATTGTTAAACTAGACTTGCATGGGGTGGCTGCAATAGTTGTAAAAACTATAACGCTTAGCGTATGCACTGGATTCCGGGATTGTGTTCAACTTGTACTTGTAATTAAATGAACGCAAAACTCAAAAAATACGTCGAAAATCGAGAAAGAATATTCACGTTCAAAACTTTTGTAAAAATACTACTTTTAATAAAAAGTTAGGAGGGACCCGTTAATAAAAAGAATGATAAAAAATAAGCCAGTCTTGATTATAATTTATTATTATTGAAGTACGGATTTTTTAATATAACTTTCTTATATTATCAAATATTTAGTATTTAAACAAAATAATAATTAAAAATAATTATGCATTTTACTATATTTAACGAAATAAAAAATGTAACTTTAAAATGTAAATTTACTAAATAATGTAAGTATTCGACTTTTATACTTGACATAAAATACGCTTTTAGTTGCTTAATGTGTTTGTGATGTAACTAATACAATTTTGACGGTAATATCTATAATAGTTCATTATTCACAATTATTAAATTTATAAAAACCTATTAGTTATTACAATGAAATATAGGTGAGATGTGGTGATATTATTATTATACTTAAACAAAGTGATTACGTTTTATGTTATTGTTGATTTTTAACAACTTATTAACAATATTTCAAATATTTATAATTAATTATACTTCTGTTATATTTTTTTATTATTGTTTGTATACAACAAATTAAACTGGCATTTCAAATGGTAAATTAAGTTTAAATAATAATATATTGTTATAGCATTTAATTGTATATAAGTAGTTCATTTATACATATATTTTGTTTTATTGTTTAAATTGCAGTTTTATTATAAGGTACATACTATCATTTATCATTATAACAAGTAAAAACTCGGCCAAATTACTTACATTTTTTTATCCGCCAAAAGGTGGTGCAAATTACTCGTACCTTTGTGACGCAAATTACCGTCACTCTGTATCCTGCTAATGCATAGCAAACAAATTAACACTAATTCGTACCTTATGTTAGATGAACGTTTAACGATTTAGTGGCATGTTGATATGTGAACTGCGTGCATGCCTAGTGTCGTTATAAGATTTAACGTGGCTAAAAAGTAGAAAATAAGTAAATTATTTTAACGAATCTAAAACAGTACTTCCTAAAAATAAATATAATTCTATTTTTGTATTAAATTAATTTTTGCCCTATTTACATACAATTATTGCAAGGCATCTCCATCAGTTTAATAATGTGCATGCAATTCTACTAATGTATGCATTGAAGTTTTTAATTGGTCGACAATATTTTTATAACCGTGCTATTCAGTGTTGTTACGTTTGTACCGTTTTACAATTTTGTCAGGGTCGGCGCAAGGGCAATGTAATCGAAGCAACTGCTTATAGGGACCCGCGCTATTGAGTGGTCCCCGCTAAAACAATGTTTTTATTAGACCAGAAAACAAATACAGTTTACTTTTAGCCAACAATATAACTCTAATATTGGATGTTTAAGATAGGATCGAATTTCGTGTAATTTTATACATTGTTGAAATTAAATGTATTGCATTAAGTAAATAGCCTGAGTTAGCCTGATTAGTCAAAAGTTGTCTTGGTTGTAATATACATATATATGTATATTATTATATTAGGAATAATAGTTTTACATTTGGTTATTTTTACCTGACATAGAGTAATATTATACCATAAACTAACATTGAGAATACTGAAATACAAAATTTCATTTTTGTCGTTAACATTATGATTTATGATAGCTTAATGTTTTATATGTATTGGCTTAATACAAAATATATTTTTTAATTTTTCGTCATTTAAATGTTTTTAATTTTTGTTTTATTAACTTGTGTGATTTATGTCTTAACTTGTTTTTAATTTTCAAAACGTCTCGGTCATTTTGGTACTTAATCGTGATTTTCTCAGGACTTTTTTACCTAGACTCAACGTCGAGTGGTGTTTCGATATGATTAAAGATAACTGTTATTCAGTTACACCCGGGCCAGTAAACTATTGTGAAATTGATAGGGTTTTCAAATTTCAGCCTTTATGTGAAGTGTCTGTTCTGCGATCCTTGTGGGTCCAGATGGAGTTGTGGAATTGATGTCTCAGCTGGCCGACGATGGTCACAAGTTCGTCTTACCATCCTTCGCCGGGGAAATCGTCGCAACGGACATAGTATTTAAAAAAAAAAAATAATCGCTTTTCTCACTCAATTTTAGGTATAAATATTTTTTTTTGTAACTTTTCAATCCATTACACGATATTGTCATACGAACATACTGTTGTCGATTGTCGCGTGTCCGACGGTTTTGTGGTCGCGAACGAAGTCGGCGAACATGGTCGGCTCGCGGTGTTCCGTGTTCGCCGGCGGCGTCGAGCGCTTGCGTACCGCACATCCAGTTTCCGGTCGGCTCGCCGTTGTCCGTGCCGCCGGTACCGCCGGTGTCCGTATCAGTAACGCCGTCGCCGCGATCGTGCCACGACTCGCGCCGTTGTCCAATCACGAGCGTACACCCTTTACACATCCGGCGCACACGACCAGGTGTTTTCGCACGCCGGCTGCCCATTTCCGCGGTTGGAAAGCCCGCCGCCGACCGCCGTCTTACCGGTAAATTGTTACATTATATATTACATTTTAATGCACTCAATTCACAAATAATTCGACAGTTGACTATATCGTATCCGATTGTCAAATCATTTCGCTTATTTTCTTTGAAAAGCATAAGTACGTAAACCCCTGTTTATAAGGGGATAATGAGAAGAAAAAAAAAATGATAATATTACATTATTATGTATATGAGTAGACAATCGAGTGGTGTTTCAAAACAAGGGATCAGCGCTACAACCAAAGCTGATCATAAACGAATCGAAAAGTTAACGATTTATTTCTAAAACAACAAAAGTTATTTTCAAAAGCTAATTCTTATCACAGATCGTTGTGTAACTATTATAAAATATCTTACATTTCTTTGATCATTCGCATTTGAAAATTGAAAATTTAGGTTTTTGAAAAAAAACATTTTTATTATTTAGTTGTGTAAAATAATTTTGTTTCGTGAATTATTAATTGAAAAATAAACTAATATAATATAATGATATTTTTGATAAAACAATTTTAACGTTAAAAATGGCAATTTTAAAATTTCAGAGTTAAATTTTAATGTAAACCTAACTAATTTACTTTTTCTTTTTAATAAATAAACTTCTAATATTTAAAAAAAAATAACTTTGCCCAGCTAATCAAAACTCACACGGAATTAAACTATTATTAAAAGATCCATGTTTTGTATACATTAAAAAAATGCACATTAATGTAAAAAAAGTCTGTCGTCTCATAATTGAACACGTTAAAATAATTTAGTAGCACTTACATACATATATACTTAGATATGCCACTAAAGTGATAGACAGGATAGTCACTAAAGACGGTTATGATTGGAAAACAATTTCAGAGAATGCTCAAGTCTACTAATTTTCGTTAATTTTATTTATCTAGACAATCATATAGGATCGCGTAATTTAAATTAAAAAAATAATCAACTCACATCATATCGAGGCCAAAGAAGTTAACATAATATTTATAAAAAAAAAAACCTTAAATTCACCAAAGCGTTAATGTACAAACAAATCCTGAGCGCATTCATATGTCATTATCGACGACTCAAAAAAAATATACTACTAAAATTGTTTTATGATTTTTTTAGTTTTTCGTTACATTTAACTCCATTTTTCGGTGTTGTCATTTCGCTTGTGTTTCAAATGTTATCTATTTTTCTGCTCATTACCGTATACCGTCTATTATCGCCGGCCTGCCCGTTTTGTTTGACACGCAAGCACACACACACACACACATTGTGTTCGGTCCATCTTTGGTGTTAATGACAATACAAATAATACATTACAGTTACTAATTATTATTAACCATTAGGAGGTATATTTGACGGTGCGGTTTTTTTGGTCCGTGTCGTTTTGACAACAAATTAAAGGCGGTTCGCGGGCGTTCAGACGGCAAAGTCAAAAACAACTTAGAAGACCTTTGCAATTATTTTGGTCAATAAAGCAAAACCGTTAAATCCCCCGGCAGAGATAAGCTATATGGACCGTTTTGCGCCGCAATGCTCGGTTGTCGCAAAGAAGAAAATGCTTTATTAAAACTCTCGGAGTTGCACACCAAACGAATGTAATACCAGAAAACAATAACACCCACACGCTATATTTTCAAATATTATACCTGTATTGTTGCCACGAGAAACGTTTCGGGTCAATAATTATTTATCGTACAGATTGTAAATAATCTTTGTTTTTTTTTGCTTTATATTAACTACTACTTGCCAAATTCGAATTAAAAAAAAAAAAAGTCTGGAGTACTGTACTAGTAAAAATATAATAAGAACACGATTTATAATATACAGCTGTACATAAGATATAAAATATATGTTTTAACCAAGTACAGTTGGTGTCACATGCGATTCCTATTATAAAAGAACTGGTGGCTTAGTTATTTATATAGTTTTAATGATTTCCAATGAATATCTGCGCATAAATTGTTTATTTTGAGACAAAACGAGACGATTAATAGAATCGAAGAAAAATAAAACTACAATGTAATTATGTATTTTATTTTGTTAGATATTAGCTATATTTTGCCAAACAAATAACTACTATTAATAAAACATATTTTTAGACCATTTAGAAGAAACAATTATATGGTCTTTGATATACTGTTAGCACTTAGCAGTTAGATTGAACTATTCTTAAAATTTCTTTGATTGAACTGTTCTATAAAAACGTGTATAATGTTTAATATACTTTGTAATAATTTCATGAATGTTATTGTAAAATCTTAATATCGATTTGTTAATTTCCAAGCCCACAATTTCCATTGCAGCACACTAAAGTTAGACTTTATTTAAAAATTGGCTTACATTTGAATGTTTAAACTTTTAAGGTTGTTTTAATCAATAATTGCAATTGTTCCGTTTTTTTTTAAAAAACCTTACAACAACAAAAGTTATAAAAAAATATTCATTTTTATTTTTGTTCCGACACAGTGATTATAGTTTTTTTTATGCAAAAATCATAACAAAACCAACAATTTTATAATATAATGTATTATTAATTGAAAAAAAAAAATATTAAATTGATTTATTAATCTGCTACAACATATCAAAGGAAGTAGACTAAAATAATATACTCAATGGCGATTCTATTTTAATATATTATCATGTTGCAGTGGCTACTGACAAACGTCATTATAAATTATAATTTATTCACGTTTTAAATACCTAACCGAGATTATAATATCATCCCAATTATTATTGTTTGTGTTTAGTTAATACTTAGTTTCAATTGAAATCGGATACATAGTGTTCGACAAAACACTAATCAGTAACAGCAGCACGAGACTACACACACATATTAATTTACATATATATATATATATATACATATATTTAATCAACAATAGCGCCCCATTACACCCGAGTTGTGACTGACATGCTATTCACAACACACATGTATATAATATACTTGCTTCGTGATGTATTCAATTTTGGGGTTGCATGAAACAAGAATTCCCAATGCGAAATGCATCTACTTAATAATGTTAAATCGTCTATCACATTTCACGTGTATACATTATGGTCTAGACCATCGCTATATTATCATTACATGTGTCCCGGTGGTAAACAAAATATAAAGAAAAGAAATACTTAACCACCGGACTTTTGTTGTATATTTATTTGTCATACGCGTGACATTATTATCTTTATAATATGTATAAGTATAACCCATAGAATATAGTGTAAATTCAACAGTTCAATCATTTGAATTATTATATGATGCAGTTGTATGCGTTATGTTTTGATCAGGGCAAATTATTATTGAACACAGTCACGAACTGTCATGATGGGTTTTAATTTATATTAATACATTTGAAAATGAACAGGTATCAAATTAGATTGTCTTAGCTTCGACGCAAAGCAGAGAAGTTATTGATTTAGTTTTGCGGTTGATAAAAAATATGTAGCTTTCGTTTGCAACGTCATTCGAGTATTCAACAAAATACAATGTTAGTATTGCCGCTGTGTATAGTACATAAGAGAGGAAGAAATTATAATAATATATGGTGGCACACGACAGTGGAATTGATCAATGTATTAAATGTATAAATTGCTGTGTCTACACAGTCGAAGAAACGAATGAAAAATGAGAATAGGCATGCAAAGTGCATTTATCGTCGACTTTTGTGCAGCGATTTCTTTTTGTCTAGCCGATTTCTTCATTAGCGCCGATCAATAACTTACATATAATACTTCTATTTGTAACTACCACGTTTACACGCGTGGTTTCAACCAATTCAGCTCATTCTGCAATGGTTTTTTTCTCGGATTTAGAGGAATATAATTTTTTTTTTTTATCCTTGCATCAAACCGACTGCGTGGTGAAAAACAGACTATGTCAAACTTTACGGGTTTGTTTTACACTACACGTGTAATTTAACGGCCAAAAATGTACAATGATTCTAAAATATGACTACTTCTATTCCCCGGGATATCCATCGGCAGAGATCAGGGAAGAGGGCTTGGGATTCTAAAAACCTTAAAACTTAAAATTATAGTGCTACATTTATTTTTATTTCAACAAATCTCTCACGAAAAAATAAGTGTAGATATTTAAAATAACACTTATTTTAAGTTTTAAGGTCTTCAGTATCACAATATGAAGGTGGGGGCCTGATATCCGGCAATCCCGAAAAAAATGATAGCAAATAACCATTTGTTTAGTTTAAAAAATACACTACTTAATACCTATGCATATTCGACCGTACGAAATTATGCGATTAATTTTATTATTCACAAAACGTGTCAACCGAGAATTACTGATAATATTTATTGTCATTTGAACACTTAAAATATGTATAGGGTGAAATGGAGATTTAAATGAAATTTCGCTGGAGCTTGTTTTTCAAATAATTTCAAGTACGATAATGGGGAAATAATAAGAACGGTATGAAACTCGCAATATATTTTAACCAATTTTACTATATAATATACTATTTAACTATAATGTGGACTCTATCTACTAACTACAAAATGGTTTTGTGAATGAATGAATGGGACTGAGAACATAGATGGTTTTTTAACCTAGAGAATACGCCTACAGGTCTTAAATGGAGATTTAACTATCGTGTCTGTACTGCTTATCCGTCGATGGTGGTCACAGTGTTTTTTTAGATACCAGTCAGATAGGCGATACAATTTGATCACCGCTGGAATATTGCAAGATTCAATAGACATTTAATTAAATAATTGTTTGAATAGTTTGTACCCGATGACTTGATGATGGTCGTACAAGGATCAAAGCACAATTTTATAAAAAAACATGGTTTAGTGTTGGCGATGATTTTTTTAGATAGCATTTCCTATGTTAACTCAAAAACTAAACATTTTTTTTAAATTTGTTTTCTCATTATTAAAAAAAAAATATTATAAATTTATGTATGACCAAAAATACAGTATAGCTGTAAATACAAGCATAATTTATTTATGTCGATATAACGGTAATAATTGTTATATAATATTAACGAGAGGAAATTTGTTTTATACT